TTCTTGGTAAAATCTTCGAGTGAAATTGACTTTGTGTTTGACCTGTTTTCCCATTTCAGACCGCTGCATCTGGAATTTGAGTTTTACAATCTCTAACGCATCTCAAGTGTTCCCTTAGAACTTGTCCTATGTCAGCGTAATATGCATTTCCGTTTATTCAGAATTAAGCACTGCAGATTTAAAAATGCGATGAAAATTTTAAAATGAGATGCAAATGCAATACAAATTTTAAAATGCGATGATCCGCAATGTGCTTTAGTGCACCCTTACAAACAACAACGTACACTTAAAAGCAAAAGCACACGTGTGCGTCGCCTACCTAACGCTTTAAAAACATATCACGTAAATTAAACATAATGATTACACGCTTTTCACTGATTTTATCCAGTTTGATCTTGATTTATGAAACAAACAAGGCACGCTACAAACCACTATTGTGACAATAAATCCTCTGATATCCCATAGAATAAAACTTCACGGCCCAGTGCTTTTGCTGCTATTTTTTGCCCCTTAATTTTGGTCACTATTGCGTCCAAGAAAAATGAGGGGTATCTTGCTTTTGTAATGTTAGTTTATCCTCATAAGGAGAAAAGGCGGGGTTAAATCGAGGACAGCCTTCACTTCATCTTCCTCACGGTTGTCATATTGTTTTCTCATCTGCTGCAGCACTATTCATGGAATCTTCCTGTCTCGTTTGATTAAAGATAAGATGTATATTAAACCAGGGTGTTATATAGCGTTTAAAGAGATATGGGAAGGTTTGGGATTGTGTATCTGGAATATTTATCAACATTAGGTGTATAGGCCTACAGTTGTCGCAAAACGTGATTTTGTGTTACCGTTGTGTGTTCAGTTTTGCTGACGACGAAAAAACTTGCATTCATATTGTCTGTTTCTGACTGTGTACGATTAATTCTGTATTCAGTTTTTGAAAAGACTTAAGTGTTTAAAAACAAAACTTGCATTCAGTCTGAGTGGCTCTGAATACAACAAAGTTCATAATCAGTCTGCAGTCAACATCATACAAATTAAAAGAATAAACCAATAAACTCTTTCATTACATTTTATTCAATCTAAAATCCACACCCATAAAGTGGCTGTGCGATGCTAATTTATATCTTCAACCTACGTCTGAGACAGTTTTTCACGCAACTCTTCATCGCACGGTGTACATTCAAATTGGGCGCAACAATAGTAACTGACAAAAATTTATATGAATGAAAAATATTCAATGTATCTGTACTGTACATTTTACAGTAATTTGAAAAAAAAAATCGAGATCGAATTTCATATTATGCTAACAAAATAATAAGAACAAAAACTGAGGATAGCTGCTCTTAATTTTGTATTGAATGTAAAAAATTCACTCTAAATTAACATGGCGCGAACATCACATTATTTCACCAAAATCCTACATAATCTGAAGTTAACAACGGCACCGTAAAACGGCCCCATAAGCATATGGCAAAACAGTCAAAGTTTCAAAGTATGTAAACTTCTCTCTACTGGCGCAAACTGACTTCAGTTACCATTCGAAGTGCTGTAAAAATGATTTTTTACACTACTCCGTCAGCTTGCACCACCCAACAGCTCAGGTTGTTACACAACACGGTTTTCTAAAAAAAAATCCTGTGAAATTTCCGACAGAACCAAGAGTCAATGCCATTCATCTGAAAAGCAGGGTAATTTCCCTGCACATTGCACAATTTTTTAGTAAAATATCAAAGGGCCAGTTTCACGTGCACATTTTTACACAAAATTTACAAAATGTGCTTTTTTTAACACCGGGTGAAAAATGAGCCAGTGACTAGGATTGAAACACCCATACCTCAATCCAATACAACAGACAGAAAATAGATATGCCTAATGTAATATGTTTAGCTTATCACTTCAAATCAGAAGTCGGTCCAACTTGCTTCCACGCTGACCAGGTTACAAAATTGTCCACAGTGACTTTAAGGTCGATTAAGTTGTCTACACTTTACAATGAATTTAATTTAGATGTATCACAAACATTTAGCTAAATGCTACATGTACTCTTCTGTTCGTTATCATTTCTTGCTCCAGATAGCAAGCAACAGCATCTGACAAAAATCATGACCTACTTAAAAGATTACTACCATATCTATTTCAGATAAAATACAAATAGTTTTCAAATTGCTAAAAGGAAAAAAATGTTACAATAAAAATGAGCATCACACCATAAAATGTTTGTTTCAGGGGAGGTTACATTATATAGTCAAATAAACCATTACTAATTACTTTTACCTTAATCTAAATCTTTTTATAACAAACGACAAAGGCCCATATATACATCAGTTTTTTTTAATATTTAAGATTATTATATTAGGTTATTATAGACATGGGCTTGTAAAAACACTTCTAGTATTGATAATATATATACAATGAAAACTATGTTACTGACCCAAGTTCTACGTCTATTAAAAATGTATTGGTTTCACAGGTTTTATTACTAAACTCCTTTACATTTAGCTCTACAATCCAAGATAAATGTGAACTTGTCCCCAAAAATGAAAAATCTGCCATATGAATTTGCCTTTTTTTAAACAGGTGCGATATCCTCGCCTGAGTAGACTTTTACATACATTTATCAAGCATTTAAGCAGGCTAAAACTTACAGTCTTGAATTTACAATCACCTTTCTTTTAAAATTCTTTGATAAAACTTGTAAGAGCAAACCAGGATATGTGACACATGTTGAAAGGTAATCATCTGAAAGCTGTGTAGGATTTAAAAAACTGACAAAATTCTAAAACCCCGAGGTCATTTTCACCTGATCAAAGTTTCTTAATTTTCTAATCAAATCATTTTCTTAACTCATGGAAGAAATATGTATTAAATGGAAGTAATTGTTAATATTAAAACCATTAAGTTATCTTAAGTTCACCATCATTTACAGATAAAAAACATCATATTGGTTTGCTTATATAATGTAAAAACATGTCCATCATAAGCAATAATGATAAAAGGTGGAATAGTTTAAAACTGGTCAAATCATCCGTATTTACCCTGATGTGCTGCATTCACATCTATGTATATCAATATATTATTAAAAATAAATAAATAAATATATTAAAAAGAGATTAAATATTTCACAGTTTGATCTCACCTCTTCAAACAAGTTCAAAGTTCAAACAAAAATCTCCTTCTCGGCCTGTGCACCCGGTATGATGGTGCCCTCTTTTACTAGTGATCTAGTTTTTTGTTTTTTTATCAATTAAACCCCTCGTCTCTGGGATGAACCTCAAAGGCCTTACATCCTTCAACTCTTGACCACTTTCTCTCAATATTGTCACCCCAGTGCTTGAGGTCTTACTCATCATCTTAATACTGAAAAATGTTAATTCATGTAAATGAATTGCAAGAACCCAGCTTCAATTACAGACGCCATTTGTTTTATAGACTGTCCATGTTGCTAGGTAAAAATGGGATCATTTGAGATTTCTGTCATTACTCTTGATGCTATTTCTGCCGTTATCCTTGATGCTGACAATTTGAACAGCAAAGGTTGCTGGGTATTTTACCAGAACGTTTTATGTGTTTATCAACTTCTCTCATTCCTTCCTCAAAAGTAGCATTGCATAGATGAGCAAGTTCCTGTATATTATATTCAGTAATTAACACACTATTTCCTCTGTAAAGAGAGAAAGCAATCCACCAGTTAGAGCTGGCTCAGTACTCGATGGTGACTGCTTTAGTCTTCAGGTACTCATTCATGGCCTCCTCACCTGAAAAATAAAATGTGAGAACGTTTTTGAGGACTTAAATGGTAACTCAAAAAATATGGTTTAAGAGTGGTTACATTGAATTCAAGCACTTCATTTAGAGGGCTGAAATGAGATTAGTGGTCATTCCCTGCCTCCTGGCCTGAAAGATACAATGTGACGCAAGTGTAGAGGACTTAAATGATATCACACCATGTGGTTTACAGTGCTTTAATTGAATTTAAGCACTTCATCAAGAGGGCTTAAATTCAATTAATGCATAAATTAAATTTCTTGGCTGCAGTAAGTAAAAGAAATGCAATCACTGGGGCAATACTTGAAACTGAAAACATTTATTTAAAGAGGGTAAAACATGTTAAGTGTATACACTTATCTTCCACATTACACCCAGAAAGTTTGAGATCAATGCCAACTTATACTACACTCAGAATTGAAATGTTTGAAGACAGCAGACAGACAGTATATTTCTCCCAATGCGTAAAGGGCCTCCATACAGTGGATTGCTTGATGTGAAAAGGGCCTCCATACAATATATTGACGGATGCTGAAAGGGCCATAAAGTTAACTCACACTGTATACCACATGCCTGCTGCTTTATTCCTTGGGGATATATGCAACTAGCACAGAAAGTGTACTAACACTAGGTACTAAAGTCTGTGACTGGTACCACTTAAAGGATGTCTTTCCGCTGTAGACGCTTAAATAGGCCTTTCTCTGAAACTTTGCCTATTTGATCCTGAACCCCAAAGCATGTCTCACACAAAACCGTTGAGAAAATAAAGGTCGAGGTATAGGTTTTTAAGATCACTTAAAGAAAAAAAAGCGCAGCATTTTTATTTCGTCTAAACTTCTCGCCATTACTCCCCTATGCATGGAATTCTGGGACTTGCCTCAATTTGCATATGACTGAATACTACTGTTTACTACGCTTTGGAGAAGACCCGGATGTCACTGCAAACCAAGATGGAGGGTAGTCCGAGTACACGTGAGTTGAAAGAGAGAAGAATAACTCTACGGGACAATGAAAAAGGAAATAAAACGGGAAATGCAGAAGCAGAGGATGTTATTTTCATTGGCAGGCCGGTGAGGTAGACAAAGCAGAAGTAGGAAATAAAACTGACAAGCGAGAAGCTGACAAAATTCTGCCGGATACGGGTAGGTTATTTCGATCTCTTA